TGTGTGTGTGTGTGTGTGTGGTGTGTGTGTGTGTGTGTGTGTGTGTGTGTGTGTGTGCAGGCCAGAGGATAATAACAGTGATTGTTATTCCACAAGGGTAATTTACTTTCGTGGTTTGAGACAGGGACTTTCACTGACCTGAAGAGAACCATAAGGCCCACCTGTCTCTAGCTCCTTAGCATGTCTGTTATGTGTATGACACTGCTGGGTATGGTGGCACATGCCTTTAACCCTAGAATATGGGAGGAAGAAGCAGATAGATCTCTGTGAGTTCAGCCCGGTCTGCAGAGCAAATTCTAAGCCAGCTACAAAGGGAGACTGTGTGTATCACCACACCCAGCTTTTTACATGGGACCTGAACATAAAACTCAGGTTCCCATGCTTACATGACAAATACTTAATTAACTGAGACATTTCCTAGCCCCTTTATTAGGTACTTTGTAGGTGGAAGTTTCTCTCCGGCCTGCCTGTTCCCAAATACCCAGCAGCCACTTCCCAAATAATTGACTCAGAGGCTTAATATTATTTTTAAATACTCAGCTGGTAGCTCAGGTTTATTACTAACTAGTTCTTACACTTATATTAACCCATAATTCTTATCTACGTTTAGGCACGTGGCTTGGTACCCTTTCTCAACAGGGCATTCTCATCTTGTTTTCTCTGTGTCTGGCTGGTGACTCCTGACTCTGCCCTTCCTCTTCCCAGAATTCTCCTAGTCTGCTCACCTTGCCTATACTTCCTGCCTGGCTACTGGTGAATCAGTGTTTTATTAAACCAACTCAAGTAACAAATCTTTACAGTGTATAAGAGCGTTAACCCACAAAAGTACTTAATATTGCTTATGGTGATGTCTATTTTGGTTGTCAACTTGAATACATGAATACATCTGGAATTAACTAAAACCCAAAAATGGCTGTGGGGAATTTTTTGTTTAATTAAATCATTTTAAGTGGGAAGAGCCACTTCTCACCTAGATCTTTGAGGTGGGAAGTATAGACAAAATTCTAAATGGTCTTATTAAATAAGAAACACAGAGCCAAATACAGAATTAAAAGCCCAAGATATCTGAACACTAGCAAAGAGCCAAGACCACCTTATCTTACCACTCACTGCCATCCTTCCCCTGAGAGAGAGACCTTCTTCCTGTGTGTCTTGCATTTTATTACTTTCCTGTTCTGCCTTTTCATTGTCTCTAAGCCCAGCCACATGACTTTCTCTTCACTGTTTGTCTATACAGACCTTCTGGTCTCTATGGTTGATATTGGGATTAAAGACTCAAAGGTCACCACGATTGGTTGTATCCTTGACCACACAGAGTCTCTGCCTGCCATGTGATTGGATTAAGGGTGTGGGCTACCACCACCTGACTTCGATTCTTGGCTTGCTAATGACCTCTGATCTCCTGGCAAACTTTATTTATTAACATAAAAATAAAATCACATTTCAGCACAATTAAAATATCACCACAGGGAAGACACATCTTTAATATGGGTCACACCTTCTGATGTAAGCCTGTGTAAGGATATGGAAGAATGAAGCTCTCTTTCCCTTTTCTTGCTTGCTCTTGCCTTGCTAACAAATCTGTTTCTTCATTGGCATTAGAGTCTTACTTCTTTGGGATACTAAAGACCAGTTGAGACATTCATCTCATGGGCTGAACAGCTACTGGATTCTTGGACCTTCCATTCACAGACAGCTCTTTTTGGGTTAGCTGGACCACAGCCTATAAGGCATTCTAATAAATCATATATATATATATATCCTGTTGCTCTAAAGAACCCTAACTAATACACATTTATTATATGACCACAATAATAACTTTAATGTTTAGTTCAGTATAATTTTTCTAAATACAAGATGGGCAATTATATCTCAAGATTTTTTTCCTTCTAATTTCAGTAAACCCCTGTGCTAGAGCTCAAAAATACAGTGAGTCTTCTGATTGTTAGCTGCATATTTGCTACAATTTATGGTCACATTTAAAGTAACTCACACCAAAATTTTTTATACTCTTGCCTCCAATTTTTTTGAGATTTGATCTCTGCTTCTATTCTTGGGTTCCCTTCTGCTTGGCTTTAAATTGACTTTATAACCTGTCTATAAAAGCAGTTATACTTCTACAAACCTGTATCCCTCAGCTCCAAGACAGACAACCAAGAAGGGCCTTTGAAATGCAGTAGTCCTAGAGAAGATCATTCCAACTAACACCTCTGAAGGACAGAGCACATTTCTGTCGGACACATCAGTGAGCTGGACTCCTAAGTTTTTATTGGTGTGGCCAGCCATAGTGGGGTAAGGAGGCGAGAGTTTGCACAGAGGAGAGTATGGGTTAAGGAGACACCCAGGAGACGCAGATGTGATGAGTGAAGAGACTCTTCCAATCCAGAATCCTAGCTCTTACGGGTGAAGTCACAGGGCTGGAAACCTATTGTTTCAGTTTGTGTCAGAAGTGCAGCTGGGACCAGGCTTTTTGACCACTCATCCAAAACTCTTGTCTGCAACACTGTGTCACGTCCCCACATTCATGTCCTAAAACATTTCAGTGTCTTTGTTTGCTAACAATATCAACTGATTTTTGAGTAACTTAATTTGAAAAGACACTTTTAAAATTACACTGAATAATTCATGACAGTGGGCAAGCAGGCTCTGACCAGATGCCCGGCTCCCCATCCCCAGGGAGGAGGAGACATCCTTTCTTAGTTAGGATGAGTCAGCAGCAGTGGCCTGTCCTCTGCTCAAAGTGCCACACGGCAGCCATGTTGGTGTCATGTCCCCACGCGCTGGCAGGTCAGGAATTGGATGTACTGGTCAGGGGTCTCATCAGACAACATCCAAGAACGAGGAACCACATTCCCCAGGAATAATTAGATATTGCTGATCCAGGAAAGCAGAGCTGAGAGTTGGCATTCAGAACAGTAGCCATCCACTCAAACCCCTTCCCGAGGAAGTCGCCTTCCAGCATGATCTTCAAAGCCTTCCCTTTCATTATGGTCACTGAAAGGATCATAAGTGGCACTGGTGGCAGCGCGTGGTACTGGTCACCGCGTGGAAAGGTCACTCACGACAGAACCCAGGGTTAGTTTTCAGAGCTTTATTAGGAGGGGGGGGGAGAGGGGAGCCAGGCCTGTAGAGAGAGAAAGATGGTGGGAAGGGGGAGCAGAGCAGAGCAGACAGCAGAGAGCAGAGGGTGGGTGTGCATTCGGCTTTTAAGGCGCAGATTGTGTGACCACGCTGCGTGCACGCATACGTAGTGGCCAACGCCCCCTAGTGACGCAAGACGCAAGACCCTGAGCTGCGCATGTGCTGGAGTGAGGGCAGGATCTTAACAGTCCCTCCTGGTAGAATTTCTCTGCATGCGGCTGCCGTGTTCACAATAGGTTTGCCGTCCCTCCCGCCAACACACACATATCACCACCACTCAGGGGTAGGATGTGCAAGCGGGAGGTGTTCCTGAAAGGGAGATTTGTGCAAAGGAATTACATAAGAGCAGGCAAGTCTCAAGCACTTATCGCTAGAGGGGAGGGATTTGCAGGGAACTTGTGTCAGCTTTTCTTTTCTCGGTCAGGGTGAGTTTTTGAGGAGGAGACTTCGGAAAGCAGGATCCAGAGCAGGGGCTGTTTAAGGCCGCCGAGAAGCACAGGGAGGCACAGGAGCACACACGTGTAGTGGTCAGACAAAGGACATCTTCATGTCCACCCCTCGAGCTCTGCTCTTCTTTCTATGAGACTGAAAGGAAGATCAAGAAGAGGGTGGAAACAAAGTAAGAGTGGAGTTGATCACAGGGTGGAGGCCGTGGCCATCTGTGAGGCGAATGTAGTTTCCGCTTGGCCCTGGGGTCCAGGAGGGAATAGGGACAGGAAAGCTCACCAACTTGGTCTTGACCTCGCCTCAGCCTGTGCTAGGCTTGCTCAGGTTTGAGACCCAGAATGGACAGGTCGGGCAGCCGCTCCCCGGGTGTGTGCAGAGGTAACCATGTATGCCCCAGGAGTGCCTGAACACAGGGGTGCGAGATGACATCTGTGAGGAGAGGCAGAGCAGAGGAGGTAGGTGTGCTGTGTCACTCTGACAGAAAAAGCCACCTCCCTAGTTTTAAGAAAAACAGGAATATAAAATTGAGTGATGAGAATTAATAAGGTGTTGCCTTGAGTCGTACTTGGAGTCAAGTTATATTGGAGATCTGGATAGAAAAATCCATCTTAGAGCTCCTTTCTGGAAGGGTTATTTTTTTTACCTGCATATATTAATATATGCTCTGTCATGAAAAATGCACTTTTTGAAGAGAATTTTAGCCCCTGAGCCTCACTACCTCCATAGTCCATTTTTTAAAAGCTGTAAAACGGAAGGAAAGCAACAGGCCAAATGCCTGGATGCTTAAGGATCACGGCATTTGTGAGCCTGCCAATATTTACAGCCATATTCCCCAGCAGGAGATGCAAAAATGTGGGATTTTTTTTTTCCATGTGAAGCAGAGCAATACAGTTTTATAGACTGCTTTAGGATTTGGTACTATGGGAAACCAGAATAGTAACAAAAGCTTGAAAAGCTAAGTAGGAGGCAGCTGAGGAGAAATCCAAATTGGAACAAGTGAGGCGCCATTTACACCTCGGGGGAATCTCATCTACACTCTGAACTGCACACCCACTCTAACAAGCTTTGGAGGCATCCTCAGAAACACCAGAGTGGCTTGACATTGCCTTGGCTGACATTGGGTTTGCTCAGGTCTCAGAGAGAGAGGGCTCAGCCCCTGGAGGAAGAGATTAAATTCCAGGACATATGGAGTGTCCCATTCCTTTAAACATTTTGTAGGAACTAGTAGTTTTGCATGTGTCCCCAAGTGCGTTGTGCAGGCATCTATGTCTGTATACATGTTTTGTGTGTTGGGGGAGGTACATGCATGTAGAAGCCTGCAGATGATGTCTCAGGTCCTCCTGGAGTGCTCTCTACCTTTTATATGGAGACAGGATCTCTCAATTAAACCCAGAACTCATTGTCTGGGTAGTCTGTGAGCCAGGATGCTCACAGGGTACCCTCTCTCTGTCTCCAACCCCTATAATTATAGGCAGGCTGCCATGTCCAGCTGGATTCACATGGGGGCCGGGATGCTCACACTTGTATGGCAATGCTTCACTCACTGAGCCAGCTCCCCAGGAACTCTTTTATGGATGTTTTTTTAAAAAAAATAATTTCCCCTTTCTTTTCACAAGATGAACTGACTCTGGGAGTGTAGGGATAAAAAAGAAATCAATTTGTTTTTGTTATAAACCCGTAAAATAAATCACATTCAAATTTTACTGGTTTGCCTGTTTTGTAATGAATCACCTATATAGTGATAACTTAAAAGTCTATCTTGGAATACTTTAAACTAAGTACCAACAACTTGAAGGCTTCCTCTCAGGAAATATGGGATGACTCATTCAGAATAGAAATTCTCCTGTCTGACTAAGAGGACCTTGTGCAAACTTTTTCCACTGAGGCAGCCCACAGTGACCTGCCGTCCCCTTCCATTCTTTAGGATCTCTCTGGACCTGGCATCTTTCTGCTTGGCTTTTAATTCTTGCAGGTCAGTGACTCTCTTATTTCTTACTAATAGAAAGAATTTGTAAAAACAAAAAACAAAAACCTGAAATATGTATATTTGGTATAGAAAACAAATCAGTAGTAGCAGATGTAAAATAGCGAAGAATATTGTGGGCTGGGGAGATTACCTACTTTCAAAGCACTTGCCACACAAGGATAGAGGCCTGAATTTGATCCCCAGAATTCACATTAAAGAAGCTCGGCTCGGTGGTGTGTCCCTGTAATCTTAGATGTGGGGAAGTGGAGAAAGGAGAGTCTCTGGGCCTTGTTGGCCAGAAAGTCAAGCAGAATTAATGGTTCCCTACATTCAGCAAGATTTTTTTTTTGTCTCAGAAAATAAGGTAAAGAGCAATTGAAGAAAATCAACATTGACCTCCAGCCTTGACACATACACAAACACATGCACACCTGCATACACATGTGAGTGCGTGCACACACACACATGCACACACACACACACACACACACACACACACACACAAACACATACACACATTGAGAAAACTTTGAGCTGTGGGATTGGGCCTTGTTTAACATTTCTCCACAGTTCCATGTTTAAAAAGATCAGAGATGTTCAAACTTTCCCTTCATTTTTTATAGATATCAAATGCACATTCAATCAAACAAACAAACAACAGAAACCCACAAGCTGCTCGCCTTTGGAGTCATGTGCATACTTCATTGGAGCTCTTGTATTCAAACACTATGCTCCCCTGTGGGAAGAAGATTGTGATCCATTTAGGGTGTCTAAACTGGATGATAAGATTCCTCCTTTTTCTGTCCATTGTCCTGATGGCTCCTGTCCTAATTCAGAAGGGTGAGGACTGTTATTTCCTGCTCAGTGGCTTTGAGTAGGCAGGGAGAACATTCCTCCACAGAGCGGAAGTCATCGAAGAACCAGTCTGGCATTTTTCTTGACAAAACCAGGCTCCAGAAGCAAGCATCCTTGTCAACCCTGCAGGAGAAGGTGGAGGAAGAGTGGGAACCAAACCAGGTACAGCGGCTCATGCCTGTAATCCAAGGTAGGAGGCGGCTATGAGTGTGTTTGAGGCTAGCCTTGGTTATAGCAAGAATTTCACAGAGATTCCCCCGCCTCTGCCTCCCCAGTGTTAGGATTAAATGCACGTACCATCACACCCTGCAAGAGATTCTTTACCCAACAATTTTGAAATTAAATATCAGTTTCAGATATCAACAGAAGTAAAATTTACAGATATGTATAAACTTAAAATTTAAGATGTCTCAAGTACATATTCAGGGAAAGTTTATGTGAGCTCAGGTTTCAGCCTGTACATCTATGGACTTTATATGTCCAACCCTGAGGAAAACCGGTATTTCTCTGAACAAGGTGGGAAGATTTTACAGGTCATGAGGACTTCAGAATTTCTCAGAATTTTATGAAGGTCAGCTCTGTGGCTTAGGTGAGAAACATCCCATTGGCACACCACACAGAGAGCGGTCTGTCTGTCTCACTGTTTTTTAATCTATTGAGTCCTGAGCAACAGAAATTGAATTCTATGAGGTCAGATCTTAAATCTCTCTGATGCTCATCTTTTTTCTCTCTCTCTCCCAGAAATGTGCTGAACCATATCTAAGGGATTCAGAAAGCACTTGGTGACTGCGAAGTGCCAGAGTACCAGTCAATGTTGACAAAGGAAACCGACAATGGAGGGAACACACCATCCAGATCCAATAGGTGACAAAAGACAATGTAAGGTATGTGGCTGGGGAGTGAGAGCCAAGTAAACTTTTATTTATTCATTTATTTTAATAAATAAGTCCTTTGAACCTGTAGAAAGCCAACATGGAACTCTCTAGAATGAGTCACAAAGGAAAAGTAGGTTGGAAACAGCTTGATGCGGCAGCTGGGTGAGAAAGCTAATTCTCAAAGGGAGGAAGGCCAGTGGGGAGAAGAGATGGTATGGGGTAGAGTGGAGGAGAGAAGTACTGTCCATAATTCAGCTATCAGATTTCATATCAGTTACTTTTCTCATTGCTGACAAAATCCTCGACAAGAGGCAACTAAACAGAAGACAGGTTAATTTAAGAAGGAGCACAGTCCGTCCTGGTGTGGAAGGCATGGTGGCAGGAGCTTGTGGCAGATGGTCACAGTGTCTCTTCCGTCAAGAAGCACAGAGAGAGGAATACTGGTGTTGAACTTGCCTCCTCCCTTTTATTTAGTTTTTTGGGCCAGGGTCGAAGTTGACGGACAGGGCCACCTCCTTGGGGAGCTCAGCTGATGAACCCCTCAATTCTGAGATGGTTTTAGGTGGGTAAAACTCTGAAATGGATGGGGAGTCTTAAGTCATCAGTAGTGTTTTACACTTCCCTTCCTGTTTTAATTTTGTATATATGTATTATAAGAAGGTGTGTGTGTGTGTGTGTGTGTGTGTGTGTGTGTGTGTGTGTGTGTGTTTAGAGATGGGATAAGTAGAGAAGTTAATAAGAGAGATGGATCTTCCCAGTTCAATTAAACCTCACTGGGGAACTCTTTGACAGAGATGAGTAAGAGTATGTTTCTCTAGTGACTCTAAAGCATGTCAATTTGACAATCAATGTAACCTATTACTACACACCCAAACCGGTCCTGTGGATCAAAGGATGAGAAAAGCAAGGGAGTACACAGTGACGTGTGTATGATAAGACCTTAGTATGGGATTCCCTCTGCCTTAGTGTTGGCTGTGACCTCTATGAAGGAGGGCGAGGCAGAAATGCTGATCCCTATTCTTAAAACTTTGAAATATGGTCCTCTTTACAGGGATTAAAAGAGAAATAATGAACAAAGAGAACAAACAAAACCTATAGATATTTAGGAGACTGAAAGAACTGTGCACCAGACTGGTTTGGAAGGTAATATTTAGAGAACCAAATGAGTGAGTGCTATGAAATTCTTTGCCACCATATCTGCACCTCAGGTAAACCAGAAGATGCATGTGTATAGTTCCCACATCAAGCAAAGATAGATAGGTATCAAGAAAGCCAAAAAGGAACTTTAAAAAACAGAGTTGATGGGGTCTAAAGGCAAAAGACTGTGAGTGGCCAGCCATCTGGGTCATGTGTGAAGTTGGAGCTGGATATGGACAGCGCAGGACAGGAGTTGTTCTGGTTCTGTCCAGGTGGATTGTCTGGGGAGGTCACAGAGCAGATGCCCAATTCTTCTGGATAGCGCTTTTCTCCTCTACCGACTTCATGCTCTCATTCTCTCCACTGAACTCCCTCCCTTTAAAAACAGCCCGTCCCTCTCTCTGTCCATGTCAACCGCCTGCCATAGCTCTCTCTTCTCAGCTCACTGTTTCCTCTGGCTCATTCTAGCCAGTGAAGCCCTGACTGCTACCTAAATCATCACTAGAAGAAATAAGGAAGCCCAGAGAGGAAGATTTGTGAAGCATGAAGATTGCCACAACAACCTGTCAACCTTTCCCCTTTTCCCACTTTAGGGGGTCTAAGACCAGGAGGAAAGAAATGTTTCAGTCACTCTTAGCAGGGATGGTTGTCTTGGAGGATCTGCAGAAATAGCATATGCTGAAAAAATGGACCACGTAACTTTGAGATCTCTCTATCTTATCTCCTGCTAGGATCCCGTGAGGATAAGGCTTGGGGAATTATCTGTTCTTACTTTCAAGTGTTACACTTCACTTTATGGGATATGGGTAATCTCAAACAGCACGGTAAAACTTAAGTTTTCATTATATAATGTCATCATAACCCCTTAATGGTCCCCATGAATGCTTTTGAAAATAATTTGGCTTGCTCTTTGCTCTTAATTGTGAATCATGCTGTGAAATACAGCCATGTAGCTAAGTTTTTAACAAAGCTTTCTCCTTGACACCCAAGGTCTCACTCTAGACTAGAATTGCTCCATATTTAGCAGCAGCATTTTATTACAACCGATCCAGTGCAATAACCTTCAAACTGTGAGTTGTTTTTCCCCAATGGACTGCATTATGCTTATGCATTTCTTTCTTCATAGACGTTATTGATCTCACCAACCTTAGTAAAATAGAAAATGGATAAGATATAAAGGGTAAATTATAAAGATATAAATATAGATATAGATATAAATATAGATAAGATATAAACTCTGGTTACCCCTTAGCATATCTAAGTCACAATAGAATTCTTCTTGGCATCCATGATGGAAGCAAATGGTAGAACATGAAGAAAAGACTCAAAACAAAACAAAAACATACAAGATAGTAGCCAGCTAGCTGAGATGTCTCCTCCTTATTCTGTTGCCTTGGCAACAGCTACAGATAAAACCTATCATTTCAGGCCTATTTTGAAAACACATTTCCTGAACCCTGTAAGTGTGACAGGCACAAGAGGCTGCTCATTTGTTTAGCATGACAGTTCTGACAGAAGTTATACATTTCCCCCTGACAATAGAAGCTGTGGAGTGGATGAGCAACAAGAGCCATGTGAATCTCAGGCAACATGGTGAACCTCTCATCAAATATATTCTGAGTTCTGTTGATGTCCTGGGTGCAGTTCTAGGTTCCATGAGGAGGTCAAATAGATTTCAGATATGACTCTCATACTGTAACCTAATCCACAATCCAAACCACACTCAAGATTGAAGGACAGTGCTAAACATATAGGGGGTCAGGAAGCAAGCAGTTCCATTTAATATACAGACCCAGTTGACACACTCTATAGACTTCCCTACTCTTTATTCCCACATATGTGTATTTGCATTTCATTTGAGATCTATCCATAACATATTAGACACATGTATTCATGTACCTCACATATTTGTTATCAATATTGTATTATGTGTGCCTGACATCCAATAATGTGTTTATTGTTCATTATCTTTCTTTTTCTGTATAGAATCTAATTAATGTACATGAGCCAATATCTCTGAGGTGAGACTAAAATCTATTATATTAGATCAGGTATTTTTAAAGGTTGTAGTATCCTGAGCTTAGAAAGAGCCAGCACACTGAAATGCACAGAGATAAACTTAAACACCAGCTTGCCCTTAGGTTTTTTTTTTTTTTTACATTTTATTTATTTTTTTATTTTACAATACTATTCAGTTAGTATAGCCACAGATCCCCTCGTTCTCTCCCCTCCTGCCTCCCTCCACTCCCCCCCAGAATACCCCCCATTCCTATCTCCTCCAGATCAAGGTCTCCCCCGAGGACTGGGATCGACTCGATAGACCCAGTCCAGGCAGGTCCAGTCCCTTCCTCCCAGACTGAGCCAAGCGTCCCTGCATAAGTCCCAGGCTTCAAACAGCCAACTCATACAACAAGCCCAGGACCTGGTACTTGGGTTGGTTTTTTACCCTCTTTGTGTTCCAGTACCCAACACTTGGCATACATGGGTCAATGATTTTTGTAGCTGGCTGTAGTGCACTGGGCTTTGTTGTATGTTGTTTATGACTGAACTTTTTTTTTTTGTAATGAAAAGACTTTATAATGCCTAGGCAATGCAGTATTATACTTTCTAGAACATTTTGAGCACCCTTTTATCCCATTGCTCCACATTTCTAGACTTCATTGGTTTTTTCTGATGGTCTCAATCACATTTACCACCTGCACTGATATTGTAAAACTGATCTTGTTTTTGCCTACATGTGCATGTGAACTGTTCCAAGTAATTATGGCTCAGCTCTTTGTGTAATGAGATATTTAGCAAATATGTCTTGATGATGATTGTTTCCATCTTTAAATCAATCAAGTCATTATGCTGGGAGCAATACCATGGAAAGCTTGTAGGAGCTGCACTTTTTAAAAAGGGAACATATTGAGAAATATCTATTGTCATCATAAGAAGACTTGAAATTTTCTACATTCATAAGACAAGGTCACTAGCTGATAAAGAAAACACTGGCCAAGCAAGTAAAGAAAAACACTGGCCAAGTTTCAGCCCCAATTTTTGTTTGGCCTTGGTGTCAAAAGTGATGATTACTGGAGTCATTTAAACAAGCTTCCCTTACCTCATATTTCTTGCTTTCTAGATTCTCATCTTAGCTGTTGATTGAGCTGAAATCACGGCATCATTAGAGAGAAATAGTCAAGATCTCTATTGAAAGAGTGTGAAATGTACTGCTTGAAAAACGAATTACTTTCAACGTCTCAACATCTTTTTCTGAAATGAACAGTGTGACAAGAGAAACTGATAGGAATTAGTGCAATGAATAAACACAGAGTTTCAACATATCCCCCTTTTCCCTCTTCCCCATTATACTCACCTTCTGTACTCATAGCTTCTTGTCTTCCCTCTGGTTCTGATGGCAAAGCCATATTAATAGTAGCTCACCTTTAGCCTGTAGTAGTCTCGTTGTCTAGGTAACACAAGGCTTTCGGTGGCTCTGTTTAGGAACTGTCTACAACTAACATTTGCTTATTCTTCTTCTAAAACATCTTACATACCCATAATTTCTTCACTGCCATTTACAACTACTGCCAGGTCTCAAACTTAAGTAGCTGCAGTGACTTTTTAACCATCCTAACAGAATGACTCCTTAACCACGTCTGTTTTACAGTAGGCATTTCATCAAATTAGCCAATGTGCTTTGCTGCTGACTCATAGGAGATTTCACCTCCCAGTTTGGCCTCTGTTTAACCTCATACCTGCTACTGCATTGTTTAGAGATGCTATCCAGGTTTCCTTTTTTTGTTCTGTTTTCTAGGAAGTTCTTGTTCTGTGTCATGGGCTATCGCCACAGTCACGAACTTTAGATCCTTCAGTTCCTAAATTCTGTGGCGCTTAATCATTTTGGTCTACTCTCCCACTCCCAGCCTCCTTGATCTCTCTTTTAATACCAGAAGAGCATGTCTCAGTAACCCTTATTTGAATCCCTAATATCATTATTGTTTTGTTGGCTTCCAGTACTCACACCTTTGTGGACTGAACTTCCATACCGCATTAGGGCTGCCTCTAGTGACTGCATCTAGAGGGCTGCTTTTGAATAGCAGAAGTGACACCTTGTGCCTGTTTGGCTAGGTCACTTATATAAAATTCACTGCAGTTTCAACATTGTTTTCTTGATACATGCTGGGAAATACATCATAAAGGTACTCAAGTAGCACAATAGAGGGACAAACATGGATACTAACTGCCCGATGTCAAGTTGCAGCTATGTGAATGAGCTCTCAATAGTGGATCTTTCAACTAATCAAGCCAAGATAAACACTTTCCTGAGAGGTTCTGTGTCTATCCAGACCACTTCCAAAATCTGACTCACAGAAATTCAAATATATAGTAAATAGTAGTTACTATTTTAAGCCATACACTTTGAGAGGGTGGTGAATTTTTAAATAACAAATGAAAAGATGATCGTATACAATTTCTCTCCCCAACTCTATTGCAAGGTCTCTAGGCATGGAATATTGATAGAAATTTTAGAATCCAGGCGACATTGTAGCTATTCTTCCACATTACAGCATACTTGGACTGTGCCTTTGAAATTCAGAAAAGATATCATTTTGTTTCCTGAATTCCTACTAAGGTGTTTTATACTTGCATTAGCTTGATATGCAGTTACACACAGAGATACTTATCAAGACAGTTTTGAAGACAAAACATTGTACTCAAGCTTCAAAGTGAAAAGTCAATACTTTTTTCTTTTTCATTATTTTCAACACTTTGTTTTAAGCAAGTCAATGGCTCTGAGGGGATTTAACAAGCTGTGAAATGCTCTGTGGACACAGGGCATGATGGCTTGTACCAGTTTATTCTCTATTGAATGTCCTAAAAGAGAATTAATGCCTCTACTGTAGTGCTTCCCTTGATTAGCTGGAATGAGAAGCGAAGCAGACATGGCATTGTGATATAAACATCCTCTGACACTCAAGAAACAGGCAAATGTGTGGCATTGAGACTTGCTGTGGTCTGAATGTCCTGTCCTTTAGTACATTCAACTGTTGAGTTCTCACCCCAAGGTAGTCGTATTAAGAAGTGTGGCCTTTGGTGTGACTATGTCATGTGGGCTCTCCCCTCACCAAAGAAGTTAGTTCTCCCCGCCATGATGATAATGGACTGAACCACTGAAACTGTAAGTGAGCACCTTCAATTAAATGTTTTCCTTATAAGAGTTGCCTTGATCATGGTGCCCCTTCACAGCAATAAAAACTCTGGCTAAGACAGTGCCCTTAAGTTCCTGATTGTGTTTGTTAGGTCCTTTTTGCCCACCTACCACAGGCAGACAGAGGGCTTGGCTAGAGGAATCCTCTGTGAAGCAGACATTGGGACTGCTGGCATCTTAACCTTAGATTCTTGAGACTCCAAGATTATGAGAAATAACTTTCTATCTTTATAAATTTCCCTGTTGCCATTATGCATCCTGCACATGTCCCTTTAAAGTTGTATTAAACAAGGTCTCTAAAGGGAAAAGATGGACCACTCAAGTATGTAATTCAGAAGAATTTAGAAAGCTAAAGGAAACAGAAGAAGAGAAAACAGGCAATGAGACCCAGCAGAAGTAAATAACTGGACGGGACCCAATAGCAAATGTTGTCTTTGGTAGAGAATTCATCCAAGTGGTTTTAGCCTACTTGGGAAAAACAGCAAAAATCAGTTCTTGTGTGTGTGTGTGTGTGTGTGTGTGTGTGTGTGTGTGTGTGTGTGT